GGGGTTGAGGGGGGTGGGGGAGAACAGCTTTCGGAGCCAGCGGCCTATAAAGAGGCTGATCCGCCTCAGCAGGTCAACACTGGTGCAGAGAACAGTCGTTTATCAGAATCCATCAAAACGAGTTCAGAGAGAGTTTTTAGAAAAGTTCAGTCACGACCTGCGTCACATACGAAGAGCCTTAGATATAAAACATGTTTTGGTTTTGTTTTTTTTTTCCCCTTTTCAACCTGGTACTAAATGTCCAAGATGACATAAAAACTCACAGCACTCGATGGGATTGGACGCCACCTGCAGTGACACCGTCCTTCCTGTAGGCTGGTTGATGTGGATCCTGAAGACCATCCTCACGCGTGTGTTCTTGCGGCCGATGTCGGTTTCCCCCTTCCTCAGCTCGATGTCAGAATTGCGCAGCTTCAAAATCCCGGCGCAGTCGATTCTGTCGGGAGAAGGAGAGAGTCGTGGAGAATGAGCGGCCGAGCCAAACCAGCGTCTGTCAGCGAGACAAATTACCATAAGCTTTTATGACACCTCCACAGTTTGTACCATTTACATGCTGATTTATGGAGAGCTGCCGCCAAAGAAAAATGGGATTTTGGGTTTTTTTTTTTTTTTACTCTGAAATCCATCAATGTCGTCAGGAAAGTTAAAAAAAAAAAAAATCATTAACACCATTACCCACAATGCAACTTTAATAGCCAAGGCCTGGTCCAGGGGCAAAGAAATTCAAATTTAGATGAACTTTATATGGAATGGCAGTAAAAAATTGCTACTTGTTTTAAATGTTCCCGACCTTGAAAAATATTGTTTTGTCAAATTGTAATTATTATTTTATTTTATCCATTTTCCAACAGGAGATTTCTGCTGCATCCGTTCACCACAGCTGTCAACTGACTGGTCAACTGACTGGTCAACTGGTTTGGTAACTACTGGTCAACAAGTTGGTTAACTACTGGTCAACTGTTGATGACTTTTGACCATTTCCAGAGTGACTGCGTCCACTCCGTCTCCACAGGTAATAAAACCTGGGGACATTTGTGACATCATCGAAGCCTTGACGTTGATCTTCGACAGATGTTTTTTTTACAGTTAAACCAGTCATAACTGTAGTAACTAAGTCAAGGTGGAACCAAGGTCTTCATCAGACGCTCCATAAAAGAGCAGACCTTCTGTTTTCTCCACCGTCCTCCGGCTGCAGACCACGTCAGAACTTCTGATCCGGTCCAAAAAAACTGTTTTCCATGCCCTCGCCGCCACATTCCTCACAGTTGGTGTTAATGTCAGCTTCCACACACACACACACACACACACACTCCCTCACATTCTTCACCAGCAGACTCTCAGCTCTGCTCTGACGGTGGAGTAATCAGGTGTTGATGCTAAAGAAACCCAGCTGTTCAGCTGCTCACAGCACCAACGAAACCACCAACGAAACCTCAGGGAATCTGGTACACTGTACGGTTAGCCGCGTGGCTAACTCTTAGATTTTTGTATGAAAATTACAAGCTAACTGTTGGGACTTTTTCATTTGATTTGATTCATTTCCAAAAGGGAAAATTATGGAAAATTGTCACTGAATTTAAACGGTATTATTTATATTTTTTGGTGTATCTTTAGATTTTCTGTAGTCGTTTATCATTTTTGCAACTTTGAGTGACTTTCACACCTTTAGTTTAGATGTTTTTAGATTTTCTGTAGTCGTTTATCATTTTGCAACTTTAAGTGACTTTCACACCTTTAGTTCAGATGTTTTTTTGAGGCATCTCGGTTAAAGGTAAATTCTCTTTTATTGTCTTGTCTTTTTGTAGCATTAGTTTAAGGCATCTGGGTTAAAGATAAATTATTGTCTTGTCTTTTTCGTAGCATTATTAGCTGTTTTAACACCTTTCATCCTTATTTCAGCTTTTATTAACCTCAGGTGATATATAGTTATTTGGCTAACTATTAGACACCTCGTCCATTTCAGGTTTACCTTTAGCTTCCATGGCTAAGATATCGCTCTTCTGGTTGACTAAAGTCGGAGTAGCTCTTATTTGAACTCCTCTGCTTTAAAGAAACAAATAAAAGAAAACATATTCTGCAGCAGTGGAGCCAAAATCAAAGCATTTTTCAAACCTTCAAAAAAAAAAGCCACAGGAATGAAGTCAAAGCCACTGCTGTGATTTAAACATGAGCTGCAGCTAACTGTTGTAATTCCAGGACAAACACAGCTCTATTTAAAAGCTGAAAGAAATCGCAGCAGTTATGAGTTGATTTAAAAGGTGCCAGCCAGTAAATGACTGAGCTGTTTCAGAAATATAACAACGCCCGTGTTCCAATAAAACACATTTATGTCAAACTGATGTCAAAGTCCGTTGTTCACGGGGCGAGAGAGAGAGGGAGAGAGAGAGAGAGAGAGAGAGAGAGAGAAACCGTAGCCCTGCGGTTCCATTAGCCCGTATGTGTTACATCCATTAAAAAAAAGCAGAGAAAGTGCTGACGTTAGCACAGCGGCTACCGTGTGGCTAACGCTCTGCTGTTAGCAGTTCGGAGCCTCGCCGGTAATGTGATCTGTCGGGATTAGAGGAGCGAGAAAAGACGCTGCGTCTGTGTGCGGAGGTTCAGGCCCAGACGCTACAGGAGGCCGCGACGATGGCACAGACGGAGCCACAGACCAGAGAACTGGTCTGTCAGAGTCTGGCAGCGGTGTCAAAATACCTGAGGCTCAGCGGCTCCTCCTCCTGTGATTCTTAAAACTGCAGTCAGGAACAAAGGCTCTGAACATCTCATACCAAAAGAATACTTTTTTTTTTCTGAAAATGTGAGGTTTCAGCTAAATTTCTTTTTTTTGTTGTTTGTTTTGTTTTGTTTTTTAACCACTGGACTGTTTTTGAAAGCTTTTTTAAAAGTAACACCGACTCTGATGCTAATCCAGACATGAGACTTTAGAAAATATAGCTTAAAAAATAGACGCAAGTTAACGTTTTGGAATGTTTGCCATAAAAGAAGTTTTAAGAATAACTTGATAATAATCCAAACAGCTGACACGGACCAATGGGAACTTTAAGTTAGTAGAAGCTAAAAGTTAGCCAAAAAAATAACTGCAGGATGTGAAGGTATGACTTTAGCCCATAAATTAAAATGACTTATTGAAATCTTGACACAACATTTAAAAAAAATGAAAATGTATATTTCAAGGAGGAGGTCATGGGTCAGATTGAAACTTCTGGTCTTCGTACCACTTATGGTCCCCGAGCCAGAGTTTGGACATATCTGTTTTAGAAAGATGTACCACTGGGTGAGCTCTACGGTCGGAGTACAGACGCCTCCAACAGTAACAGCATCAGTGCCAGTACCGACCGTCCCCGACAGAAGACATCGTCAGGAATCGTGACCAGCGTTATTTTTAAAACCGTGTGCAGAGTTTAGTCCAGGTCAAGTCTCCAGGGGTCGTGACCCTGTGAGGAGGACACGTCCAAGTGGTGACAGAGGTTTTAGATCAGAGTGTTCTCCACTTGACAGGTTTGTATCATGAACTGGACCAGAGTCAGACGTACGTGTGTGTGTGTGTGTGTGGACATAAATATTCATGTCCTCGTTGTTGACCTGGTGAAACAACCACAGGAGAACTGACCCAGATTTAACTTGTTGACTCGTTCAAAGACGTGGCTTCAACGTCACTCGACCTTGAGTGAAGTTTAAATGAATGAATTTGATTGAAGTTTTTATATACGTTAAATATCGTATGAAAAACAGCCAACAGCGCTAATGCTAGTTAGCATTAGTGTAGCTGGTATGATGTTGCACTTTAAATAGAAGGCTTTTTACCAGATAACAGAATAAACGCTAATGCTAGTTAGCATTTAATATAGCTGACTTGCTAGAAATAGCGTTGTACGGCACAAACAGGAAGCGGTTGACAAGTCCGTGCTATTTATCACGCTACGTCACTATCTCAATAACAGCTCAGCCTTCTTGGCCGCTTGTTGTCGACAGCACCAGCAGGTGGAGTATTTTGTGTTTCTACTAAGTACGACTAGACACAGAGGGCACATTCTGGAACATAAAGTCTTACCCTGACACTAAGTGCAGGTTCAAACGCTGCTCCAAAAGTACGAGCAGCGGCTTTTAAGGCTAATCTTCCATCATCGTTAAAACCCAGAGTGTCAAGAAATAAAAAGACTTTTGATCACTGCAGTGGAAATAAAATCAGAAAAACACTCACATGGCCCTCATGTTGTTCTCCGGCAGCAGTGGGATCTCCAGCACCTTGGTGTTGTTGTGCAGCGTCTCGTGGCTGGGCGTGGACACCGTCTTCCCGGTGATGCGGTGGACCTGGTAGAAGGCGTGGGGCCTCAGCAGCCGGTCGTCGGCCGTGCCGATGAACAGCTGCAGGGTCAGAGGTTCGTTCTCCATGTAGCCGTGGAGCTGTGAGGAAGTGGAGGGAACGAGAGGAGGTCGTTAAAACGGATTTATGTCAGAAATGTTTAAGGTCTCAGAGTGTTGGTTTTCAAACAAAGTGGCCTTTTAGGAGGTGGGAGTTTACATCTCCTCTAATTTACAACCGGCGATATACTGTATATTCCCCCCACCCCCCGTACTGGACTGTACACCCCGGTGCTGCCAAGATGTTGATCCTACAGTAGCTGAATCTCAGGGGCAGTAAAAACCCACCTACAGTGAGTGGCAGTGGTTGATTTGATTTGTGATTCCCTCAACGCTCGCTGCGTGACTAAGACTAAGATCGTGTTTCAGAAAAGTCAAGGTCGTGTGACTCCCACGGAGGCTTAGCTGTTCGGGCGGAGGAAATCTCCGTCTCTTATTGTTATCGGTGAAAGGATCGCAGGCTGACGGAGCTGCAGACAGCACAAACGTGCCCGTGGTTGGAGATGGACGTCCAGACCTCCGGAGGTGTTTGCTGACAGGAGGCCTCCCGTCAGGATGACCTCAGCCACCCAGACCGTGGAGCTCTGAAACCCACAGGCTGAAATCTGAGAGGAGCGCGGGGTTGTGTAGAATATTCACAGGACGAGACGAGGATTTGGACAAAAGACAGAAGGCGTCTAAAACTGTTGACTCCAACCCAGCAGGATAATTAGGTCTAAGGCTGATTACTCTGTGATGACTGGTATAAATGTATAAATAATAAATTAAAATCATCCACTGATTCTGTAATCTTCACGTACAACTACGTTGGTCATTAGCTAACGTCAGTATCTTTCTCCTAAATTGTAACTTTAGTTTTTTTGCACTTTAGTGTAAATATTCCTCAGTGTCAAAGCCTGTTTTTTGTCTTTGATAAATTTAAGATACTAAAGATTTTTTAAAGCTAATCCCTACCATTGGTTTAGCTTAGCATTTAGCTGTTTGTTCAAATAATAAAATAATATTTTAGTTTAATTTTAGAATAACTAATTTCAGATATATTTTGTCGTTGTTAGTTGGGCATTTTAAGCTAAATTTTATTCTATTTTACTTTTAGCTTAATTTCAACATTTATATTTTTTACTTGAATTTGAATTTATTTCATTGAATTTTTAGCATTTTAGCAGTAAGATAATGTCTATTTTACACCTCCACATCCTTCACTTGATACATTTTTAACATTTTGCATCGCTTTAGCCCAATCTCTTAAAAAAAAAGAAAAGAAAAGTGTCTAAAGACATGAAGACATGAAGTCTCCCCCTGGTCTTAAAGTCGCTGCAGGCTCAGACTCTGAGCTCCGTCTAATCATCGTCCTCTCTGGACGGGAGCGTCAGCTCAAATGAATGCTGCGGCTGAGATGTTGAAATGAAGACCACAGCTTTAAACGACATGAGAAGAAGATTTGAGGCTTGAGGGGAGCAGAAAAAAAAGAAGAAGGCGCTGGAGCCGGGGAGGTAGAACATGTGATTTTGGAGGAGGATCCCTGTCAGGGTTAAGAGCCTGCAACAGCCCTGTATATTTGTGTAAGGAAATGGGCTGCTGCCTAGCAATGCTGTTTATTTAGGCAGCAGAAAAGGAGTGTGATGGAGTGAAGCAGCCCGCTAGTTATTTTCAAAGTGTAATCACTGACAGATTAGTGATGATCTGCTATGAAGTATCGTCAGAAAACGAGGTTCAAACAGGAAGCCTTGAATGATTCTCCAAATCGTACGACGGTTGTTGTTGTTGCTGATTTTTGCAGCTTAAAAAACACGGTGAATTCAATATTTCTAACTCTGTTCAGTGTCGTTCTTTCTTAAAGGACATGAAATTTAAAATCTAACCTACGGCCTGATCTTCCAGCCCACAAACTGGGCTGCGTTTTGCTCTGTTATCTGAGTGTGTTGTTAGGACTTAAATCACTGTGATCGGGCCGTGAATGTAAACGCTGCTCTCTCCTCCGCCCTGGCACAGCTGCCTCTCCTCCCGACAGCATACTATCACCCACCAGAGGAATGTGGAGACTCCGGCAGCTCAAGGCACCGATGTGGAGGAGAGAGAGAGAAAGGTGCGGGGTGTGGACGGAGGTTCACCTCTGTGTGTGTTTCTGCCCGGACGCCGGAGCCGCGCTCGAAACACCCCAACGACTCAATAACAACAATGGAAACACCGGAGAACCGACTGTTCCTCCCGGAGAACTTCACACTCAGACTAGGATTCTAACACGTGCACTGGATTTAACACTGTTTAAAAATGCAGCACAGCCTCGGCTCCAACCACAACTCCTGTTCAGATTGAAGAAAACAATGTAGTCGTAAAACTACATGACGTCAGTGATGCAAATGAAAAACATTAAAAAAGATTTAATCATAAATACTCAAATTTAATATTATATTAAATTAAATAATGTTAACCCTAACCCTAACCCTTTTTTTTGAATGGTAAAAGTTAAGTGCCTTCAAGAAAAAAAAAAGGTCAATTAGTTAAAAAAATTATATGAATACTGTAATATCAATAATAGCCCATTTATTATTATTATTATTTATCATTTAACAAAAAATAATGGAAAAATCAAGGTAGGTTAAAAATAGCTAAAAGCTAGCAAAATAGCTTCAAAAATAGTTAACAAAAAAATGATTCAAATGAGATATGATCTAGAAAGGATGCAAAATACATCGTAAGGAAGAGGTTTATGACCACTTAGAACCTGTCCAAGTCCAAAGGTTGGTCCCCAGGCCAGACTTTGGACATGGTTACAGACAGGTTTGATACGTTTGGGTGGAGGGGGAGGAGGAGGAGGAGGAACGGTCTGGAGTTTTTCACAGATCTACAGTGAAGCCGTTATTATCATCAAAGAGGACAGAAATCATCATTATTATTGGAGATGGACACCAGAGAGGAGCTCTCTCCGATGAGGAGGAGGGTATTTCCTGTGTCCCCCCCCAAACCCACAAAAAAGCCAAAAAAAAAAAAAAAAAAAAAAAAAACCCCGAGCATTAGCTGCGGTGTGGACTGCACACAGCACTCTCAGAGTGCGGGTGTGGTTGAAGAAGGCGAGGCAGCAGAGATGGCAAAGATGAAGAAAAAAAAAAGAGTACCACCAAAGAACAGAAGCTTCTAGAATAAACTCTGCACAGTCTGGGCAGGGTTTGAATCACGGGACGAGCCGCAGAGGCTTCGTCAGCCAACCGCCATGACTGCGTGTGTGTGTGTGTGTGTGCACCATGTAATCAGGAAGTCTCAGGGATGGGGGGGGCTGCCTCGTCTGAAGCTCCCTCCAACATCTCCATCTGCTCGCTGCCAGAAACGTGTGTGGTTTCAGCCGCTGCCGCCTCCGCGGGACGCAGCGCGCGGTGATGTCAGCCGTGCACACGGGAACTTTCCTAAACAAAGGGAAGTCTGTGTGGTGGGGCTGACGGAGGAGGAGGAGGAGGAGGAGGAGGGGGGAGTGGGG